CGCCGCTGCCGCCGCCGCCGCCGTCGTCGTCGTTTACGTCGGCCGTCGTCGTCGTCGTCGTCGTCGTCGTCGTCGTGGTCTTCGTCGTCGTCGTCGTCGGCGTCGCGGCCGCGCGCGCGATGTCGCGGCGTAGAGAGGCCCAGCGAGGAGCGCGCACTGGCCAGACCCACGGAGCGGGGAGACGCCAGATCCACCCATAATGAATCGGCAACGCCACTCACGCAAAGGGGCAGCCGTGAGGGGACGCCGCCCAGTCCTGGCATGCCCCAGCCGAAGCTGCAGGAACGGAGGAGGGCCGAATTGCGGACGAAGCCCGAAGGGCAACGAGAGGGTCAGCCAAGCGCTGACATCAGAAACACACGCCCGACAACAGACCGAGCACGTGTGCTAACCGCCCAGCCGTGGGGAGAAATGCAGGGAGAACGGGGAGGGAAAGCAACGAGGAAGGAGACGAAGGGGAAGACGAAGCAGTGTGACACCGACAACCAGCAAACACACACACACACACTCAGAAAGACCTAGGACAGACATAGAACGCACACAAAACGCACACGCAGAACACACAACGCCCAGAACACACAAAACGCACAAGATACACACAACACCCACATACCACACACACACATCTCGCACACAGAGCATACACACAACATGCACAACGCACGCAGCCCACACACCACACATAGCACGCATAACTCACGCCACACAACCACACTCAGAACACTCACAACGCCTACACTACACAGAACGCACTCAACACAGGCGCATACCACACACAACCAAACATCGCACGTACACCACAGACAACACAGGCAACACGCAACGTGCAACACTTCACACACAACACACACAACACACAACACACAACACACATTCCACACAACACGTACAACCAATACAAGCACATGCAGCACTCAGGACATACTGTACACATAACCCACACATCATACACAGCACACACATAACACATTCATCACAGGCAGCACATACCACTCACATAGCACAGCAACACACTTTTCGCGTCGGCGGCTCGGCAGAGTGACTGCGCTGGCGGATGGCAGCACACAAACACACACACACACTCACACACACACACACACTCACCCACACACACGCGCATTGAACATGTTTTGCATGAGCCTCGGCACGCGCGTGCCATCTAGATGTGTACACATACACACATATCTATATATATATAGATATGTACGAGTGTGAATAAAGGCTCCCCAATCAATGCTTTCGCTTAGTGGTCCTGACTTATCCTCTAAAGCACTGGGCCTGGTTGTCGGTCCGACTGGCTTGTGGCCGCCCGTCGCCGCCGTCCTTGGTCACGATTTGTATTCCGTGACGCCCCCCCCAGGAACCTCCAAGGCGGCCCCAAGAGGGCCTCAAGACGGCCCAAGAGGGCTTTGACGCCCAAGGTGGCCTCCAAGACGGCCCCGAATGGTACCGAATGGCTCCCTACACGGCCCAGGAGGGTCCCAGATGCGTCCAAGTCCGCCCAAGAAGCCCCCAGGACGGCCCCAGATGACCCAAGAGGCTCCCGAAAGGCCTTCAAGACGGCTCAAGAGGCCTCCCAGAGGTCCTCCAGGAGGGCCTGAAGAAGCCACACTCTTTTGGTTTACCTGAACAGTTTTTGCAGGATTTCGCTCTGCTGCGGGCCCAAGAGCCCCCCGGGATCGCCCCAAGATGGCCCCAAAGGCCTCCACGATGGCCCCGTGACGCCCCAAGAAGCTTCCAAGACGGCCCCAAGAGGACCTCAAGAAGGCCCAAGAAGCCTCCAAGACGCCCAAGATGGCCTCCAAGAAGACCCTGAAGCGCCCCAAGGGCCCAAGAGAGGCCGCCAATAAGCCCCCAAACGCCCCCAAGAGGGCCCAAGGAGGCTTCCAAAAGGCATCAAAAAGGCACGCAGGAAGATCCCAAGAGGCCCCAAGTGTCCTCCTCCTCCTCTTCTCCTCACCCTTCCCCGCCTCCCACTCGTCCTCCTCCTCCTCCTCCTCCTCCTTCTCCTCGTTTTCTCCTCATCTGTATCTTTTCTCCCTCTCCTCCGCTTCTGCTTTCTCCCCCGCGCGTTCCCCGAAGGGTTTTCATAACGTCTTGGGGAACACATGGTCCGATAGATTGGCAGAGCTCTGGCCACGACGTTCGGCCACATGGGAAATTTTAAAAGGCAGGGGGCGGCTGTGATTCACCGTATTCGTCTTCGGTAATAAACATGTGTACGAGACTGCATTGGCGCTTCGCGCAATGCACCTTGGTCCTTCTTGAAGTTTGGTATTCGGGCGGAAGGGCAGGACGGTGAAACAGAACAACTAGCGATAACTCCTTGTTGCCTTGTCCGACATCGTTACAACAATGTCATTATGTATCCTTCCCTCATGTTTCCTCTTCCTCTTCCTTGTTCTCGCCCCACTGTGCGAATTCTTCCCCATCACCCTCAGCTCTTTTTTATGGAGGCTCCTCCTTGGAAAGCCTCGTTGGGGCCTCACGAACAGTTTGAATGGCTTCTTGGGGCCTTCTGGAGGCTTCCTGGGCGCCTTCCGGGGGCTTCCTCGGGCCACCCTGCTTCTAACCGCGGTCTGCATGAACGACCGGGTCACGATTTGGATTACTTCGGGAGGCGTCTCGGGGCCATCTTGGGCCGTCATAGGGCTCTCTTCGGGCCATCTTGGGTCTCTGTTGGGCCTCATTGGGGCTCGCTTGGACTGACCAGAGAGCAGAGCACTCCCAAGATCAGACAAAAATCAATCGTAAATCAATGCTGTTTACGTTAAGGCAGCCTCTTCACACTGATTTTGAAAGAAAAGCAAACATAGTCAGAAAATAAGCAGCAATAGTCAAAAGAGCACGAACAATCGCCACCAGACTACCTTCAAACTATTCTTGAATATTCCCCTGTAAAGAGACATGCCCGACTGAACCGTAGTCTGGGCCCCGCAAGGGTTTCCCGGACCTTCTGCAGGGGCGTCCAAGGGGCACCAGCCCGGGGGGTCCTGGGAGGGGGCACCTGCCTGCGCTGACCTCCCTCGGCAGCACCTGACCTCCCTCCAGAACATCCAGGGGGGCCCGTTTGGAAAAGGGGGGGAGTGGCGGTTCCGCTCCCCCGGCTTGCAAAAACATAGAAAAAGGAATATACTCACATACGTACCCGTTGCTCGGAAGAAGTGGGTAGAAACATGAAGTAGGAAGTAGTCGGAAGTAGATTGGGCTTCCGCCCGCCGCCTGACGAAGAAGGAAGAGGTGAAATCGCTCGACCCTTAAAGTAGGAAGGCGCCCAAAGTAGATCGGGACCCGAAAATCCAAGCATACCCACCTACAGCGACCGACGTGTGCACATTAGCCCTGGGCACTCCGCGCGGGCCCGGCCATGACCGGTGCGGCTGCACACGCTTGGGCGCCCCCTCCAGCCTCGCGGTGTGGAGGCCACAGACGCTGTCGAAGCCGTCCAGGGTCTGGTGGTACTGCAGGCCCTCCCAGCCCCCGAAGGCCTGCCAGCCGCTGGGCTGCAGCCAAACGTAGAGGAGGAGGAGGAGGAGGAGGAGGAGGAGGAGGAGGAGGAGGAGGAGGAGGAGGAGGAGGAGGAGGAGGAGGAGGAGGAGGAGGAGGGAGGAGGAGGAGGAGGAGGAGGAGGAGGAGGAGGAGGAGGAGGAGGAGGGAGGGGGGGCCTGTTGACGCCTTTGGGGGCCCTGAGGCCCTGGCGTGGCAATTTTTCCGAGCCGGGCGTTGTCGCCCGGCTGCGGGCCCCAGGACCCTGGACAGCTCGGTCCGCCTCGAAGAATAGTGCTGACAGATGGGGTCCAGGGCTCCGGTCGTGATTTCCCGCGGTGCTTCAGGTTTTTCGAAACGGCGGATCTCGGGGGAGGGGCGAGCCCGCCCGCGAAGGGCCCGCCACCGGCAGGGGGTCCTGGGCAAGCAGAGTATCCCCGTGATTTGTGTTGTCGTTCTGCTTGCTTTTGTTGGGGTCCCCCCGCGGGAAGCAAGGCTGAAGATCCCCGTGGGTCAGAGAAACAACACCCGGTGAGGGCATTGGATGCGGAGTCACTTGATACAGAATCCCAATGTCTGGAAGTCGGTGGAACTCCAATCGTGGGGTGGCCATGGATATCACCGCCGCCCTCGTCAGGCAAGGAATCCTCCAAGGTCTGAAGCCTCCTGGGCACATTCCTTAACGAACACCCCCCCCCACCGTATTGCTCCAAGCGGATCTAAGGAATCCACGATCGGGTCTCCGAAAGCGTATGATTATGCAGCTTGTCTTCTTCGACCAAGGCAAGCGGAGGCCCCGTGGGTCTTGGGTGGCACATTCCAGGAGCAGCTAACATCGAATCGCGAAACCTGATCGCATCGGAAGATGCATCGAATCGAGCTGCGTCGGCCTGGAGTCAACATAGAACTGGATCGGCCGCGCCCGGATGCACAACCGCGCCATGCAATCGTCGGGCCGCATCGAGCCGTCGGAATATCTGAATCGAATCGGATGGGGCCCAGAACTATCGATGTGCACTGGGGCACCCTCCTGACCGTCAGGGGGGAGGGGGGACCACTGGGGAATGACCAGCGGGGACCTCGTCCCTGGCGATGGCCGGAGTGCCGCAGGACATGAGCCTGCGCGCCGCCAACCCCGCGAGGATCACTGCGTCCGCGCAGGAGGAGGAGGGGGGGGAGGAGGAGGAGGGGGAGGAGGAGGAGGAGGAGGACGACGAGGACGAGGAGGAGGAGGAGGAGGAGGAGGAGGAGGAGGAGGAGGAGGAGAGGAGGAGGAGGAAGAGGAGGAGGAGGACGAGGAGGAGGAGGGGGAGGAGGACGCAGGACGCAGCACAGAACGCCGAAGCATCCGGAAACGCGACGACGACTATATAAAGTTAGGCAAGTGAGTGTGATACATCACCAACACTCAAGAGAGACCAGACAAATTCATCATCAAAGGCCGACGCCGATTGCTGGATGTTTGCCCTCGGCGAGCCAGTCCCTGGCTCGCCGACGGGCCGCATTCGGGGCTTTAAGTGGGCAACGGGCCCCGAGGGCATCGAGCTTGGGGGACCCAAGGGCCACCCGGGCGCCACAGAGCCCACAAAACAAGTAGGGCCCTGCCCGGAGGACTCGATGCCCGTCACATTCGAAGAGGCACCCTCCAGCCTCCGCTTCCATCTCGGCAGCGGCAGCAGCAAGAGCAGACTCCCCCTCCCCCTCGACATGCTGACGCCAGCCTAGCCGCTCGGTGGCGGCATCCAGCTTGGTCAGCATCGGCCCAGGCTCAGGAGGAGGACGAGGAGGATGAGAAGGAGGAGGAGGAGGAGGACGAGGAGGAGGAGCAGGAGGAGAAGGAGGATGAAGAGGAGGAGGAGGAGGAGGAGGAGGAGGAGGAGGAGGAGGAGGAGGAGGAGGAGGAGGAGGAGGAGGAGGAGGAGGAGGGGGAGGGGGCAGGGACATCTGAGTCACTGAGGGACCACACCGGCCGCCTCAACTCCAGGGGGCTTCGCCGCGGCCCGCCGCTCTGGAGAACCCGGGGCCTCGCGCTCGGCCGTGCACTCGCCGAGGATGTCCTCGACGGCCGTCCCGTCCGTGTCGTGCTCCAGGCTCGCGTGCTCCAGGCTCGCGTGTCGTGCTCCAGGCTCGTGTCGTGCCCAGGCTCGCACGTCGTGTCGTGCTCCAGGCTCGCGTGCCTCGAGCTCCTCGCAGGCGCGCGCTCCTCCGCAGCCTTCCGGGCTTCGCTGGAGCTCCTCCAGCGCCTGCTCCCAGAACCTGCGCTCGGCAAGCGCCTTGCGCGCCACATCCTGCATCGCGCCGTCAGGGTCTTTGCACTTGCGCCGTTTGCGAAATATACGGCCGCCAATAAAAATACCGAAAAGGCCCCTCCGACGCCCCGCATGCCAAAGTTGGCGGGCGACCGCGCCGGAAGGGAGCGCGCAGTGTTGAGACATATAAGCCCACTCTCTTGCAAAGGGCCCACCACTTCCTGAATAACCTTGACTTTCGGGGGCGAGGGGGGCGCGTTTCGGTGTCGGCCAAGACCCGGCACGGTCGTTTTTTTTTTTTTTTGCAAAAAAGGTTACTCTGGAGGTCCTCATCCTGCCTGCCTGCCGTCGCGCGCAGCAAAACGCACCTCTGCCAGCCGGAACTCGACCTCATTCTTCGCCTTGCCCTCAACCTCCGCCACGCGCAGTGCGTCCATGAGCTGGGCCTCGGACGGGTTCTCAGTGGACTCCATCGACGCTTGTGCGCTCGGCCTCTGCCGTGCGCTACACCGCCCACAGCATGGCCGCGATCGAAGTTACTGAGACTGGTGAGATTGTCCTTCGCCAGCCTGCGGTCGCACTCAGCGATGCGCTCGGTTTCCGCCAACTTGTAGTCGGCCTCCTCCTCCTCCTCCTCCTTCAACTTGCGCTCGCCCTCCACGATGCGCTGCAGATTCAAAAGCTGGGGGCAAGGATGTTTGCACTTGGTATTGCTCTCGTGGTGCTGATTCCTGCCCTCGGCCTTCTCAACATTGTCTGCGCCCGAGATATCTGTGCCTCCGGCCTCAGCACGTTAGAAGCAGAGCATCCCCTCGCCCGTATCGTTAACGAGGGCGCTGTTCTGACCTTCTGCAGCAGCTCAGGGACGGGTGCGCGCACGCCCGTCGACCGCTTCGAAACCGGCGCCACTCGCTGGCCAGGTCGACGTGTTCACCACCTGCACGACGGCGCCGAACGTCCTCTCCCGTAGCGGTCCTGTCGCCCTGGCCGTGCATGATCAGCACGTCCTCGTAGCCTCTGATGACGCTGCACGCCGCAGATGCATCTTGCTTGGCGGCCTCGGGCGGCAAACAAACGCAGGCTACCGCCTGCGCACCCAACAATTCTTTGAGTAGCCGCTCTCCGAGCGGCAATTTGCCCTCCGTTGAGCTGATAGCCGCAATGTGATCCATCTTCGACTCGACTGAACCGCCCACCGACGTGACGGGCGGAAGACCGTGCACACGGTGCGCGACGGCAAACCTGGCGCGGCCAGGACCCTTGAGCCTAAAATGGCTATGGAGGAGGACGAGGAGGATCGGAGGAACGAGGAGGAGAAGGATGAGGAGGAGGGAGGAGGGAGGAGGCGAGAAGGAGGGACGGATGATGATGATGATGATGATGATGATGATGATGATGATGATGATGATGATGCTGATGATTATGATGATGATGATGATGATGATGATGATGATGATGATGATGATGATGATGCTGATGCTGGTGCTGATGCTGATGCTGATGCTGATGCTGATGCTGATGATGATGGTGATGATGATGAGGAGGAGGAGGAGGAGAAGGAGAAGGATGAGGGAGGGAGGGAGGGAGGAAAGGGGGGGGGAGGTGAAGGAGAAGTCGCCAAAGACCCCCTGTGACCGTTTTGGAGCAGCAAGCCCTCCCCTCTTGAGCCCAGCAGCCTTCAGGGCCATGAGCAGGCAACACATGGCGGGCCGCGTCATGATGGGCGGGCCCGGCTCTTCCCCGAGGGGCGCGTAGGGGCGGATGAGGGAGGTGAACCTGCTCGGGAGCGACAAGCGAGGACGCGACGGTAGCTGCCGGCGCGTACGAGGGGGTTGTGCGAGGGGGGCGGCTTTATCAGAAGGGGGGCGGGCTTCTCAGGAAGGGGGCGTCTTTTTCAAGCTCTCCCGTAGTCTGAGAAGCCTTTTTGGAGACCTCTGGGGTCTTCTGGCAGGGCCCCTGCCTTCAAAGAAGCCCCCCGTCCGCCGAGATGGGGTGTCGCGGTTGGATAGCCTCACTCGTCTACGGGCAGTGGCAATCAACGTCGAGTCAGGGAAATCGGATTGAGCCGGAATATGCGTCGGATGAGGCTGCATCGGCACGGAGTCAAGATCGCATCGAGTCCGCCGCGCCAAGATACACAACAGCGCCGTGCAAGCAGCGGGCCGCAGCGAACCGTCGGAACATTGGGAGCGGTCGACAAATTGCGAAACCAGCCGAAACAACGCGAAGGCCGCCGAAACAAAAAGAGGCAAGGCAGCAGACCAAAATCCAAGGCCGCCGAACAAATGGAAAATCGGCAGAACAAACCCGAAACCAGCGGATCGGGCTGGTCGACCTGGATATCGAAGCGGATCAGTCGGATCGAAATGGGCCCTGACAGGCGAAGGGAATCTGGATGGGCTCAACGTCCACTACAGATTGTGCCGGGAGAGTCGTGTGTTTGGGAACGCGGGTCAGGCGTCCATGAAGAGCTCGAGTCGTTGTGGAACCAGCTCGCCTGAATTCGATCGTCTCCGTGCCAAGATGCACGTGGGGTAAATATTGAAAGAGAAGCTTATCAACACAAACATCGGTCCAATGGCGATGTGGCATCGCGGCGCCACATTCCGCGCGGACCCACCTCTGGACGTCCCACAATGCGACAACCCATCCGAGATTCCCCTCATAAGCAGCGATCTTCCGCGGACCCCACTTTAACCCACTGGACCTCAGGCAGACCTTCATGATCTCGGATTTCTCCACTGGGGTGAAGATGGATCTGCCAGGCTTGACCCAAGGCTCCTTCTGGGGGGTGGCGAGCAAGTCCTCGTCTTTGCAAGGCGGCACCAAGAACTTCTTGGGCGTGGGGACCGGGTGAAAGAGCCTCTCCAGCATGCGGTCGTAGATGGCCTGGTCCTTGTCTTGGGAACATGATGCGAACCAGACAGCATGACTGGGGGGGGAGACAGGGGACACCGAGACCGATAACCCCTGGACTTCTACCAGGGTGCGTCCTTACCAAGACTTTCGAGGCGAGTCCAGCCGTGGAGACGAGGGCCCCACCAGGAGACACACATAGGCCGAAGCGAGGCAACGGCATCGGTATGTGCGTCTCCTTCGAGTGGCACGGAAGACCGCCGGGCAGAGGAGGGGACGGCACGCGAACGAGCTCGCAACGATCGAGCTCGTGCAGTGAACGGTGGCCTGACCACACTGCTGGACAAGGCGCGCGCGCGCGCCGTGCGCAATGCTACGCAGTCTACGACTGACCCCGTGTTACTCAGATGCGCATCGGCCTTGGGCGTGCCTCGGCGGTCTTCCGACGGTCTTCGAGGGTGTCTGGCGGTTTTCGGCACACAAGCTAGATGGTGTTGCGTTCAACAAGGGGTCCATGGCCGAACACATGCTGGCATGTCAACCCCAGAAGCCCAGCGAGACGTATCTCAAACCGTCCCGCGTCTTCGTCCTCGGGCTGTCGTGAGCACTGCCTCCTCTCGCGCGCCAGCCACCGAGCGGGGCGACCAGGACACCTCTTGAGCCTGCACGTGCACAAATCTGCCGCGGCGCCCGAGCGGCACGGGCACGGTTCTTTCAACCGCGAGGGCCTCGTGACCGTTATCGGGCGGTCTTGGGGATCCGTTGGTTCGTGCTGGACACTGCTTCAGTCTGACAGGGAGGGAACTTGAGCATCACTCAAATGTCTCAACCAAATCAACGGATACGGCCTCCGGTGGGGGGGCCTCCTGGGGGTCCCCTTGAAGCCCTCTTGGGGCGTCTTGCCGGCTTCTTTTGGGCCGCGTGGAGGGCGCAAATGGCTTCAGATCCATGCCCAGAAGTGGGACTCGGAAGCAAGCCAAAGGGGTCAATGGGGCGGGGGCGTCCCCTCAGATCTGAGCGTCGCACAAAAATCGCGGCGGCCGAATTCTTGCCGCTTTCGGCCTCTGGAGGCCACCTCCTGGTTCCGAGACCGTCAAAAAATGTTTGACGGCCCTGGGCTGTCCAACCCGAATCGTGTGGAACGGCTCAGGACGACATCGAGATCCATGTGGGCCCGCGTCACGGAAAGATTTAAGACGAAGCCAGGACGAGGACAAATCTGGGTGAGGATAAATCGAGAATCTCTGAGACCCGGCGGCTCTGGAGGATGTATCGGGCGCCGCGGCCTTCTCAGAGCGTTCTGTAACGCCCTGAGAGCGTTCCAGAGCGTTCTGTAACGCCCTGAGTGCGTTCCAGAACTCTCTGAAGCCCCTGAGATCCGACGTCTCGAAAAAATTGAGACATCGTAAGAAGTCACGATTGGAACTCCGGACCCCATCTTTCTGCGCCATTGTTCGAGCCGGATCGATCTGTGAGGGTCCCGGGGCCCGGAGAAAAGGCGAAAACGCCCGTCGTGAACACATTGCGACGCCAGGATCTCAGGGGCGGACTCATTATCCTCGCTCTGGCCCCGTCCGAAGATTGCCGACGTCGGAAGGGAGGGCCAGCCGCGGTCCTGCTCCCTCTTGCGGGTCTCAGACGTCCGCTCGATCTCCGCTATCTCACGGCGGGCAACCTCGCGGGCTCCAAGGGCCGGCGCGCTGCGCCCGCTGCGCCCCCCCCTCTCTCGGCGGGGGTGGGGGGCGAAGGCGGGTGGGGATGCCCGGAGGACGAGGTGCGGTGGGGACGTCGGCGGGAGATGGGGGCCACCAAACACCCGTCTTTGCTTCGTTTTTGGGGTGCCGGAACGCGCCTGATGTCCAACCGAACGGCACCCTCTATGGTCTTCACCGAGCGGCCCGCACGAGTTGCCCGCTTGCAGAGCACACGCAAGCGCGTCCGGCACAGAAGCTGTGCGCAATCCTCCCGCTGATCGGGGACGGGTGCCTTGGCCCTCGCAGACGGCGGGGGCCAATCACCCGTCTCGAACGCGGCAGCCCAGCCCCGGCAGCCCAACCCCGCCCATCGCACCCCCGCCCTCCGCACGGGCCGAACCGCGCGGAAGGCTGCGCCGACAGGGCTGGGCACCGGGAGGCAAGAGCGGAGAGCATATGCTCAGGTGCCGTAGCAGGACACCACCGAAACCGACGGATTTCCTTCGTGACCCTCATCACGGACTCGGGCCTGGTCCTGCGCCGACGGGGGCGCTGCAGGCGGGCGCCGTGGCGCCATCGTGGGAGACGAGAGCAGCACCACAAAAATATATGACTTCCCCCAGTTTCGGCGGTCTCTTCGCCGGTGGGTGGCGGCATCACCGTTGGGTCCCGCAGGGGGAAGGGGAGGACGCACGAAGGGGGGGAGGGACGCCCGACGAGCGAGGACGGGAGGCGAGGCCGAGGAGACGGAAAGCACCACGGATGAAACGTTGGCCGCGCTCGGCCTCCGGGGCCCTTGCCGGACCCCAGGGCCATGACAGAGAGCGGGCGGCGCAGCGCCAGTCCTGCGGGGAAAGGCCCAGGCATCTGGGGGCCCACGCTGCCACGAGAGCACGGCAGCGGAGCTGCGAGGAACCCACGCCATCCAGACCTCCAGCGCGAGAGGAAAAGTAAGACGACGCCAAGACGAAGATGCATTGGGGCGGGGATAGCTGGGAACCTCTCAGATCTGGCGGTTCCGGAAGATGTCTCGGGCGCCGCGGCCTTCTCAGAGCGTTCCGGAACGCTCTGAGAGCGTATTTTGTCCTCGTCCTGGCCCCGTTCAAAAATGAGAGGGTACGATCACGCCTCCTAACACCCTTTCCATGGCATTTCGCGGGAAGACCAGGGCATCGGCTGGACGAGTTCAGCAGGCACGCCAAGATGGGAGAAATCACGATCTGTTGCATCCGAAGCTTTTCTGCCTCACATTTCCTGGGGATAGCTTCAGAGAGCCCGAAGCCACACAAACAGTCCAAGATGGTTCCAAAAGAGCACGAAGACGGCCCCAAGGCTGCCCGAGAATCCCTCAAGACGGCCCAGGGGCCCAGGAGACCCCCAAGATGTCCCCAAGATCCACCCAGACGTGCCCAACATGGTTCAACCGAGCATCTCCCAGCGAGCTCAGTAGAACCATCAAGCTCCGAACGTCTCCGAGACCCCGACTGTCCCCCTAGGGACCATCAAGAGTTGTGCCCATCAGGCCTCGAATAGGACCCCAATATTCAATCGAGATAGAGAGGAGAGAGGGGTGGGGTGGAGAGGAGGAGGGGAAGGAAGAGGGGGAGCACTAGGCTTCGGAAAGACACACGCCAATTCAGACAGTGCCTGGATCTGGAACGAGTCCTAATCTCATGCTCCTTTCTGCTGCGCTGCAGTACTGGCGCAGTCGCGTGGTTTGCAGCGGGCAGCTGTATAGCAACTCAAACAGCAGTGCGCAAGAGCACAAACCTGAATCCAATCTGGAGAATGTTCGGGACACGCCGAAAGCGGGGTATTCAGTTTCTGAGAATGCACAAGTGATGCGAAAAAGTGGGAATCCCAAACCCGAGACGTAGAACCACTGCGCACACATAACAACACACATTATACGTTTGCGCGACACGACACGACGCTCCAAGACGGCCCCAGAAGCTCCCAAGACCACCCCAAAACTGCCCAAGAGGCCTCCAAGAGGGCCCCAAGACGGCCTAAGAGCGCCCCAAGATGGCCCAAGAAGCGCCCAAGACTGCCCAAGAGGGCCCCAACACGGCCTCAAAAGGGGCCCCATAGAGGGATCACGAACCGAAAATCCGAGCCTTCCCCCCAGCGCCCAAGAGGCCCCCAGTAGGGACCAAAAAGCGCCCCCACGAGGCCCCCAAACTGCCTCCCCCCAAGAGGCCTCAAAACTGCCTCCAAGAGGCCCCCGAGAGGCCTCCCACGAGATTCCAACGAACACCCACTAGGCTTATAACGCACAACTCGGGCACGGTGGCGGGACTTGCCGAAGGCAGCTGTATATATCCCAGAGGCGGCGCACATACTTTCAAGCGAAGTGAACGCTGCTCGTAGGCCACAGGAGCAATGCAATCTTCTCGAGATCTGCAGTTGGGCAGTGCACCGACACATGCAAACTTAACAACCGTCTGTGAGAGGGATGCTCCTGCAGAGAACCCCATTCGACCTGCTCCCAACAACAAAGGATATAGCTCAACACTTGCAACGCACACATGTGAATTAGGTCCCTCGGTACCTCACGGTCCTGCTCCACCGCGGCCAACGCATTCAGCCTCTTGTCGCTGACGTTGATGTCGTGGGTCCAGGTTGGTGTGTGGAGGACATCGCTTTTAACAAGACGGATTGGACTTGCCTCCTCGACGGGAAAATGTGGGCAAAGTTGGCAGTACACAGCAGTACATATGTAGTGATGCCATCCTATCATCCTGGCGACGACCAGCAATCGAGTGCCCGATGTATCTGAACAATAAGACATGTCTGCGGGCATGTGACACACACACATGCAGCATGTCCGTCATCGCTCTTGCAGCGGGCGGTGTGTTTGTCTGTGTGTGCCGAGCCCTTTTCCGATGACGCAATCCACCAACGCATCGAGCCCAATATTCGCTCATCATGTGGATCAGGTCTCTGCATTGTTACCTAACAGCGAAGACTGATAGGTTTCTAGTGGTGTCAAAAGAGAGCATCATGACTCCTCAGGGGGGTCGGGGCGGGACCCGGGGCGGCTGCCGCCGAAGCCCAAATCGCCTAGGACATCCTCGCAAAATCGCTCTTGGCGCTCCCAGAACGCCATTCCCGGGCTACATTTTGAATGCCCGGAGCCAACTGTAGGCCACTTCGTGCTCTTCGACTTCCCAGAACTCCATTCCCGGGCCACATTTTGGATGCCCGGAGCCAACTGTAGGCCACTTCGTGCTCTTCGAGTTCCCAGAACTCCATTCCCGGGCCACATTTTGGATGCCCGGAGCCAACTGTAGGCCACTTCGTGCTCTTCGAGTTCCCAGAACTCCATTCCTGGGCATGATTTTGAATGCCCGGAGCCAACTGTAGGCCACTTCGTGTTCTTCGAGTTCCCAGAACTCCATTCCGGGCCACCTTCTGCTGAGGCAGGCTGAGGCTGCGGCTGAGGGAGGCTGAGGCTGAGGCAGGCTGAGGCTGAGGCTGAGGCTGAGGCTGAGGCTGAGGCTGAGGCTGAGGCTGAGGCAGGCTGAGGCTGAGGCAGGCTGAGGCTGAGGCTGAGGCTGAGGCAGGCTGAGGCTGAGGCTGAGGCTGAGCAGGCTGAGGCTGAGGCAGGCTGAGGCTGAGGCTGAGGCAGGCTGAGGCTGAGGCTGAGGCTGAGGCAGGCTGAGGCTGAGGCTGTGACTGCGACTGCCGTTGCCACTGCGACTGTCATCGCGAATGCGACTACGACTGCGAGAACAGCAGAATTCTACAACTGGATTCTCATCTGAATCTTAAGGGGAATGCTTCCAGATATGCTCCTACACATCGCTGTTAGGTTGCTTTGCCGGGGTAATTTTTGTTCTGCCTGCCACGCAGCAGAAGTGTTTTGCCATCAAGCGTGGGTTGGGCCTTCCATGCCCCCAACCTCCCAGCCCCTCCCCTTGTCCCCCCGGCGCCCACCCAAGCGCGGCGGAAGATTGATTCGCGCGGAACCGTAACCTGATGCCGCCTAATCACCATGCAGTCATTGGAAGCTCGGGGTGCGAAACCTCTGTGATCCTCCCACCCAGTCCTACGTGCGCGCATACACTCATACGCGCGTGCACCGATGCGCTGCGCTGCCATATCCTGACGCCGCGCCGCGACGGGGGACGAAGCGGGATGACGCGATACGGCACGAAACGTGCATGCGTGCCTTTGCGCGCCTGTGCCTCCTTCGTGCCCTGGGCTCCTTCAGGTTGGCCTTCGAGGCGCCCGCCCCGACGAAGAACACGCTCCCCTGCGAGCGGCCGGCCCACGCCACCGCCTTCGGCGGTGCGGCGGACTGGCGGCCACGCTGCAACCCGCGGCCCGTGCCCTGGGGCTCCTGCGCCCAGCCGCCGCGGCCGCGCCACGCGCCCTGACCCGCCGCGGCCTCCGAGCGCGCCACGCCCGGCGCCGACGAGACGCGGGCCCGGCCCGCGGGGGCGGCGGCCACGTGCGGGAGGCTGCCCGGCGCGGACCAGGTGCGGCCCAGGCCGGCGGTGGAGGCGGGGCGCACCGCGCCGGAGCCGCCGCCGCCGTGGCCCGGCGCCGCGGGCGAACGGCCCGGGGCGCACGCCTCGCCGCCTCGTCCCCGGGGGGGGGGGGCGGGGGGGGCACGCCATCGAGTGGCTCCAGGTACCACCGCGCGCCCGTGAGGACCGCCAGTGTGCACGCGACACCCGGGTGGCGAGGGAAGCCAGGCGCAGCCAGGACCACAAGACAACATGCCCTCCCCCAGGATGCACAAGAAAATCGCCACGGCACGAAAAACACGAGGGCATCCTCCCCGAACCGACCGATCTTATATCTCGGCCCGACCATATCACCGCCGCCTTCACCAGATATGTAATCCTCCAGGGTCTGGAGCCCCCTGAGCACATTCCTTAGCGAACGCCCTCACGGTAGCCTGCGATCGCTACTACAGCGTGCGAGCGCCACGGGAACCTGCGAGCACGACGCGAGCGCTGCGGCCGCACCCTGCTACGAGGCCGCGGTGCACGCGTGCGCTGCGGAAGTGTCTGGGCGCCCTGCATGAGGGGGGGGGAGTTCGCGGAGGGGGGGGAGGGGGGCAGGAGAGCCCAGAATCGAATCGATAAGTTGAACCGGCGACCGAAACCAATCGGATCGGCGGAAATCGGCAGCCAAATCGGAAGAAGACGAATCGGCGTGAATCGGCAGACCAGCGAGGCCTCCATCGGGAAATGGAAGCTCACATCGGAATCCGAGGTCGAATCGAATCGAAATCGGAATCGGAATCGAGTCGGAAGAACCGAAAGGAGCCCTGGGAGGGCGGGGGGGGAAGGGCGGGGGGAGGGGGCAGAACGCGCGTTATGGCACAGGCCTGAACAGAACAACGCCCTCCTGATTGGCCAATCCCGAAATCCTCTCAAGATTGGTCCCCAGGCCCCTTCCGAACCCATCCTGCCCAGCCAGTTTTTCCACCCCCGACCCACCTCCTACGCCCCAAAAGCCCAAACGGGCCCCCCCGGGGGCTTTAATCGAAGAAAACTCAGGCGCAATAGTCTGCTTCGACCTAAGCCCGTTGGCAACCAACAGCTTCCCCACCGAGGGGGACTCCGCCGCGCGGAGCGCCAGCCAAGGAGGAAAAGGAGGAGGAGGAGGAGGAGGAGGAGGAGGAGGAGGACGAGGAGGAGTGAGGAGGAGGAGGAGGAGGAGGAGGAGGAGGAGGAGGAGGAGGAGGAGGAGGAGGAGGAGGAGGAGGAGGGAGGAGGAGGAGGAGGAGGAGGAGGAGGAGGAGGAGGAGGAGGAGGAGGAGGAGGAGGAGTGAGGAGAGGAGGAGGAGGAGGAGGAGGAGGAGGAGGAGGAGGAGGGGAGGAGGAGGAGGAGGAGGAGGAGGAGGAGGAGGAGGAGGAGGAGGAGGAGGAGGAGGAGGAGGAGGAGGAGGAGGAGGAGGAGGAGGAGGAGGAGGTGGAGGAGGAGGAGGAGGGAGGAGAGGAGGAGGAGGAGGAGGAGGCGGAGGAGGAGGAGGAGGAGGAGGAGTGAGGAGGAGGAGGAGGAGGAGGAGGAGGAGGAGGAGGAGGAGTGAGGAGGAGGAGGAGGAGGAGGAGGAGGAGGAGGAGGAGGAGGAGGAGGAGGAAGGAGGAGGAGGAGGAGGAGGAGGAGGCGAGGAGGAGGAGGAGGAGGAGGAGGAGGCGGAGGAGGAGGAGGAGGAGGAGGAGGAGGAGGAGGAGGAGGAGGAGGAGGAGGAGCAGGAGGAGGAGGAGCGCCAACCGAGTTAGAGCAACAGCTCCTTCATCACCACCGAGCGGAAGCTAGCCTGCCGCGCCCTTGCGCGAATGGCCTCCGCAGCAAACTTCCGAGCAGCTCGCCTCCCGAGAACCCCTCTCCTGCGGCAGGCGTTGAAAGCAGTGAACAAAAGATCAGAGGCGAGTGCTATGGCATGCTGCTGTTCACGTGCAAGACATGGGGAGAGAGTGGCAGATGAGGAAGGCCACCTGTGGGGCAAAATACTGGCAAGAGGGTCAATCCCCCAGGACGGGGGGAGCTGGGGAAGCAGTTTCCTAATACAGGGAACTGCAACAGGACACGAAAAATAGTGGGGAATGGTGTCGTTGCCAGGACCTGAGCACCCGAAAACACACTGGGCAGTAGCTTGTCGGAACCTCCTAGTCGTTGGCCAGGCGTTATAAAGGGATTTGAGGATGGATGTAATTACAAAACTAGGGAGCTTCAGGCCTACAGTATTCACACGAATAATAGTCAGATCAGCATCAGCAGGAGTACAGGTCTTATCCCAATATAACATTCTATGGATGACGAGTTCGGCAGGAACGACATATTCACGTTTCCGAAGAAGGAACTTGGTGATAGCTTGCTGTAGTAGTTTGGGTGGCTTGAGCGAGGGGGCATAAGGAATGGCCATATATCTATCATATTCAGCTTTCATGAAATAGAGGATAGACTGCTTGAAAAACGGGTGCAACTTGTATGCAGGGCAATATTCATCATCGCCTTCAGCTGCAGAGAGCCGATCACATATCACCTGAAACTGCTCAGACCTGATCGCTGTCCTCAACATTGAGGCTCGGGCGAGAATACTGATGGACCTGCATTCGAGCGGCAACCCCAACGCCTTCAAGTGGAACATGGCTTTGGGGGGGAAGGAGTGGCGAGGGGCCCGAGGCAGACGCTGATGACTTTCTCTTTCTTGCCTGATCAAGGCTTTGCTGGGTGGGTAAAATTGTCCCACATGCGAGCAGACCGGCACAGCATAAGTGTTGAACGCTTGGATGCTGTTCACAAAACTGAGACCCAAGTTGAGCACGTCACCGGTGCGAGAGCAAAGCTTTTTGGCCACAGGGTCCCAAGAAGAGCGGAAGCCATCCCAACCGATAGTGATCCCAAGAAGTTTCCCAGACCTTTGAATAAGGAACTTAGAGACATTGAGCCCACGCGTTTGAAACCCTTGTATGACCTCATTCGCCTCAGCGATGTTGATCATCACTATCACGCACTTCTGAAGGTTGAGGTGCAGTCCTGTAACAGCACCTGAGACCAGCAGGCGCTTGATGATGAAGGGCAAAGACTTAAACAGGTCCCTGGCGACAACCGACAGGTCGTCCGCAAAGGCACTGAGCTCGAACTCCAGACGAGGCCGTAGCTGCAGGATATATCGGACAACGGGGTCCAGGACCAAGGCGAACAAAACTCCGCTCAAAGGACAGCCTTGTTTCATGCCCCGAAGGGCTTCGTAGCCAAACTTTCCAAAATCTCCCAGGGTAATGTGCGTCCAGACATCTTCGTATAACGCAGCTATGGCACCCGTCACCCGAAAGGGAAGCCCCATTCGGTGCAGAACAAAAAATATCCAGCTGTGCCAGACGCTCGGGAAGGCGTTCTTAAAGTCGAAGAGGGCGACACCGCTCTTCACTTCGTGAAAGACCACACCCCAGACCGTCATCATTCCCTCGATCGAGATGATATTGTCATTCATCATCCTCCCCTTCACGAATCCCCTCTGGACGACGTGGCAGGTTTCGGCGGCGACGTGGTTAAGGACCGAGGCGATGGCGGCACTAACGAGTTTATTGTCCGTATTCGACAACGACAAGGGACGAACGGCATTGACGTCTCTCACCTCCTCCCCTTCATTCTCGATCTCTCCTTTCGGTAAGAAAACTGCACGGCAGTGGTTAAATTGAGGATGAAGACGGCCTGATCGAAGGATGTGACGGTACAGGTCAAACAAGGCGGTACGGGCGACCAAACCACCATGCCGCCACGCAGAGTACGGGACTCCGTCTGGGCCTGCAGCTGAATCATGCTTCTTCGCCTGAAGCAGCTCAAAGAAGGCGGACTCCTCCAGAATCCAATCGTATCTCTGGTGAGATGCAGTCACATACTGTTCACCTGAGCCATCTACTGTTTGGATGAACCCAACCAGCGGATGAGCGTCCCCTGGAGTATCGCAATCTGCAAGATTTTCAGGTTCATGTTGATTATCAAAAACTTGTCCCCAATGACGGGCCAGAAGATAAGCAGCCTCGTTAGGATCAGAATGCACCTCACCATCAGGACCACGGATAGCAGAGAGCCGCATGCGCGGCCGTGCCGCGGCCCATGCAGACGACAGGCGGCGAACTCTACGAATAGCCTGCTCTGCAGCAACGGAACCTTCGGGCATATCACGCAAAACCTGTTGCTCCTCCTCCTCATATATGGATATCATAAGTTCAGCTAGATGAGTATGAAATGCACCTTGATCTATCCAACACATGGTACTCGGATTAAAAAACGTAAACAACTTGCGATATCCACGACAGGCACGGAAGGCGTGCACACTGCTGGCAGAGCGGGCGGCACGAACAAGCTTGAGGGAGCAGGCCGCTCTCTCTGGGTCAGACTTGGCTCCTGCAACCTCCACGAAGCGGCGAACATCCCCAGCAGCGATGTGAAATATCTCTTTTATCTCAGAAACTCGAAGTTGGGGTTCAGTACTTAGACTAGTAGCAGCAATATGATCTTCCACGTATTCCTGGAATTGGGGGTGACGAGCAATCCAAGCAGGGATGTTCTGCATGCTGGCTTCGGGGGCGCGAGGAGGACGCATGCACAAAAAGACGGGGACGTGGTCTGAAGGCTCATTCTTCGCGGTGACCTCCCAGAAGACACCAGTGTTCGGCCTATGGTCCAGCAGGGTGGGGGTGTCCAAGTTAATATATATTCGGTCGAGCCTTGCATAAGACTGACGACCACGGATAACTGCACGATGTGTAAACGCAGTCTGCTCAACCTCGCTGTATGACGGGAAGATATGGTCAAAAACTGTAGCAAGCCTGGATGGTGAGGGAGATGAGTGCGGAGGAAGGACGTAGTACCTGGCTTCACCTTGCTCGTGATAGTTGAAATCACCCATGATAATGCTGCATGCCTGAAGCTGAGGAAGGAGATGATGTGAGAGACGACTGAGAACGTTACGACTATAGCCTTCAGACCAGTCTGGATCCAGGTGAAGCCCCGACAACTGCAGGATGCCTTTGCTCCCGACAAGCGTGAGGGAGAGGATGCGACCAGGTATGCACTGATACTCAGAGACAGAGTCGAAGAGCGAAATCAGAGTTTTCCTGACAAGGAACACAATACCCCCAGCATGAGCGTCCTCGACAAACGACCCGAAGATCTGAAAGTCCTGATAATCTTTCTCCAGGGCACTGAGGTCCCCCGACTGACCGTGCGTCTCCTGTGCACATATTACATCCATTTTCCTCGAGAGCCTGGCCAACGCTTTAAACTTTTTGACGCCATGAAGGAAGGGGGTGGAGAGGGAGTGAAAAAGAGTCTGAGCATTCCACGAGCACATACGCAGCGGCTGCACGGGAAGAAAAGGCTTGGCCACCCTAGGGCCAAAGAGATCGCGCTGGCACGGGCCTACTGTACCCCCAGTAGACCATGACGCTGGAGGGGAGCTGGAACCTGAAGAAGACAAGGTGGGAGGCGATGGCGACATGGCAGTAGTAGGCGCAGTACTCCCAGGACTGCAGGTACTTGTCGCCAACGCCGGTGCCGATGAGGGAGCAGCAGGGGTCACAGAAAGAGACATAGAGGAACATGAATAGTCATTGAATTCCGAACCAGCCTCCGATGAGTGTGACGATTGCGTTTGCTAGATATATGCACCACGATTGTTGATGTCCGCCATGATCGTGGTCAGCTTGGCTACGTCGATGTCGAAGTAGTCGCACGTAGGCTGATCCACGTCGAAGGTGAAGGCGGCGTGATTCACATCCGTGCATGTCACCAGCGGCCATACATCTTCCCCGTCAGTCCAGTGAATGGTGCCCTTGTAGCCATTGATGATGGGCTTGCTCTGCGGCGTGTACTTAGGGCTCTCAGCGAAGAGCTCGATGATCGGGTCCCAGCATCTGCTGAGGGCGCGCTGTGTGGTTCTGACATCCTTCGGCAAATCCGTCCGCGACTTGAGAAAGTGGATCCCACCATCCCTGGGGTCTTGCCATGTGGCGTTAGCATTGTTGAAGACCTCCGAGAACTCTTTCGCCAGGGCCTCGCTGGTGAAGGTGAGACTATACGACTGACTAATCCGATGGAACTGAGGGGTAACGTTGTTGACCATGATGTCCGTCATGATCTGGCTCTTGACCTGCTCAAAGTGCGCTTGTCGTTTGCTGGCGAGCAGAGGTCTGGGGAAAGATCCAATCCATCTACGGCACTTGTCGAATGAGTACGACCGAGAATTGAGCGGACCTGATGGCGCAGACTCGCTTGCCTCATGTTCACCGTCATGTCGGTTGCGTTTGTGCCTGGGCTCGCTATCCTGGCGTCGACTCTCTGAAGAAGAAGAACTTGGCGCACCCGTCGAGCTGGATGCCCTAGACTGAGCCTGCAGGATGGCGATCGCGGCCGAGTGCTTGTTCACCGTCTCCTGAACAGACTTTAGATGTGCGGTCTGGATCGCTATGGCAGCATTCTGGTCGTCGAGCCTCAGGTTGACAGAGTTGGAGAGCACCCCGAACTGCTCGGTGAAGCTAGCTTGAATGGAGGTCTGCATGGCCTGGATCTGCTGTGAGATGCTGGCATTCAGATTGTTCTGCATCTGATTCATGAGCTCCGTCATGGAAGCGTCCGCCATGGCACGAATGAGTGCGATGCGCACTCGGACAAAGAGGAAAAGATTGTGTCCGCCTGGGCTCGCGCCCAGATCGCCCTCTGAAGAGAGCTGCCCGCTCAGTGCGACTGGGCAAAGGGAAATCCGCCTGCCGCTGTTGGCACTTGAGCCAAAATGGCAACGGAGGAGCAGGAGGAGGAGGAGGAGGAGGAGCAGCAGCACTAGCAGCAGGAGCAGGAGGGACGGAGAAGGGAGGAGGGGAGGAACAGGAGGGGGAGGGGGGGGAGAAGGAGGAAGAGGAGGAGGCGGAGGAGGGATGAGGAGAACGAGCGAGGGGAGATTACACGCTAATCGCGCGCCATATCTAGTATCACACCCCTCCCGCCCATCCAATCCCATTGCGCTGATCTTTGTTTATCCGCCAATGGGTGTCCTAGCGGACTTAGATCCCCAAGACGACCCCATCGCGTGATGTGCAACTAGATGGGAGAGGTCAATATCTTGGAGAGGGATCAGATGGAAGAGGATGGGCAAGAGGAGCAACAGAAAGAGGAAGGGGGAGGAGGAGCAGTGGCAAAATCAGGAGCTGGAGGAGCGGGAGGACCAGAAGAAAACCATGGAAGGCAGGGGAGGGGAAAGGAGGAGGCGACCACGTCAAGGCAGGAACCGGGTCCATGAATACGACTCGCGCTGGGGCGAGCCTCGTCCTGCGAGCGCGCCATTCCGGACGACGGAAGCGGACGGCCGACCCTGACGTGGAGCCGCAGCTGCAGCGAGAACGCCATCTCGAAAGTACGAACATGTCAGCATTGCGACGGCCCGCGAGCTGCGAGAACAGACGCGGGCGAAGAGCTGCCCCGCCTGGAAGTGACCCACGGAAAGATGGGAGAAGGGCATTTAGTGTGCGAAACTGTGGAGGAGTAGAAGGAGGAGGAGGAGCGGTGCTTACCCAAGACACATCCACGATGTTGCAATAAACCCTCCCTCCGAATTCCCGCTTCATAGGCCCATGCAAGATTTGTTGTCATTGCGGGAACTGCCCCATTAGAAGACAACCGCCTCATGACCGCTAATGATTTCAACGCGCCGTTCCTGGAACTTCAGCTCCGCGAGTCAACGTGACTTGTGCTTCCTGGCAACCATACAACCGTCTCAAAACACAACTCCTCGGACTTCAACACCGCGAGTCAACGTGAGTACTGCGTTCTGACATTCGCAAACGATGTCAGAGCACAATCCCTTGGACTTTAACCATGCGAATCCTGGAACAAACCGAATATGCGCGGCGCTGCGGCGAGAACCACATGTTGAAGAGGAGCCGCCCTCCATCCTTGACACCGTTTTAAACTTACAAAACGAGTGCGCGCGGCGCTAAAGTGAGAACGACATTGTGCAAACGACCCGCCATGCATCCTCGAATTTCTTGCGTTTATTGGTTCTTAACAAACGTGCGCGGCGCTAAAACGAGAACCTCATTTTGAAAACGGTCCGCCATGCATCCGCGAAGCTGTAGCAACATTGTCAGACGAATGTGCGCGGCCGTAATTATGGCGAGAGCCACGTTCAAAAAAACGCCCGCCTTCAGTCTGCGAGCCCGTCGCAAATCTCAAAGTGAATAAACATAGGTGGCAAGGAAATCTCTGGCGAAACGCTCGGTCCGCCCTAGCGCCACGCCAGGGGCTGCGCCAGGGAGAAGTTACTTCTAAGGACAAAGAGATGGAGGAGGAGGAGGCGGAGGAGGCGGAGAAGGAGAAGGAGCGAACGACGCGCTGAAGGGGGCGCGCGTCCGCGGGTTAGAGGCGCAGCGGGCCCGCGCCGCCCACGAGGCACCGTGGCAACCTCAGGGCGCGGCGGACGGCTGCGACCACGTCCTTGTGGTACTTGAGCTCGTCGTGGATGGCGGGCGCGCCCAGCTCGGTGCGCGCCCGCATGATGTTGTACGTGCGGAAGGCCACGGCCATGCGTGTGATGGTGTGCCTTGGGATGTCGTCGATGTTGTTGCTCTCGTTGAGTCCGAGCCGCGTGAGGACATCACCAGCAGGTTGTCCCCGAGGTTGAGCCAGTAGCGCCCGCATTCGAGGGTATGTGATGTAGTGGCTGATGTCGTCCGTGTTCTTGATCTGCGAGTCTTTGTCGCAGCCGAACAGGCAGTTCTTCTCGCGGGGATTGACGTGCATGCGGTGATGTCGTCCACGCCCCAGACAAGGTCTTGACCACGGGCCAGAAGAGCGAGGCAGTGGTGTTCGCCAAGTGGGGCCGCAAGTCACGCCAACCGTGCTCAACACTCGCAGGGAGAGTAGCTCGGCCAAGAAGTCCGTCACGGTCGGATGTACCGGAGTCCATCATGATGTCATTGGCGGAGTAGATGTGCGGTGTGGATGTGGCCGTAGTGGTAGACTGAATGCCGTCGTCTTCCTGCGGGAGGTTCGGGTTGGTGGCGCGTTCCCGTTCGATCCAGCGACGACGGGCGCGGTGTTCAGCAGCGTCACCAGCAAATTCTCGATGAGTGTTTGTCGGCATGTGCTCGGTGGTGTAGATCTGTAGGCGGTGGTTGCGAGATCGTTCAGCTCGTTGCCATGCACCGTGCCATATCTCCTTCGCCATGTCACGGCGAGCGCTGGCTGACCCGTACTGGTCATCGAGGCAGAAGTGCGCATTGAACTGGGTGCGGTGAAGAACAGCAGTGATGTACGGGACGCACCAGTCCATCCAGTCGTTGAAGTTGTCCATATCGCGGCCGAAGAACACGCTGGGGATCCATCTTGCTGCCCATGCTTCTGCACGTCCATTCAGGTACTTCATGGAGTCGTGGTTGTCGTTTCCATTCGGCTGCTCGGTCGTGGCAGGTGCCGTCTGGGGCCCTCTATCAACAGGAAGTAGTGGGAACCAGGCGCGGAGACGGTGATCGATAGTCTTGTGGAAGGAGTCGCGGTACAGCTGGCGTTGTAGTTCCCGTAGGTATGCTTGTTGCGGAGAGGTGCGGGATGTGGCACTCGGAGTAGCATCATTCGAAGATATGAATCCAGCTTGTCTCTGATGAGATCCGCCAGTCCTGTCACGACTGGGCGCGTGGAGGTCACCAGCCCTGTCACGGCGCGGTGCCTGGTGGACTCCAGTCCTGTCACGACTGGGTGTGAACAGATCCTCCGCCTTGTTACGACGGGATGCCATGATAGCGTGTCGTCCAGCTGCAGCAGCTTGCGCATGTACTCGTTGAAGTATCTGGGCGGCATTCACCGTAAATCCCGTGGATCGCGTGAGCGTCTTGAAGATGGATCCTTTGCCCGTCGCGATCAGCTCGTGGTGAAGTATGTCGTCGAATCGCTGCACGATGGACGTGGCGTCAATCCAGCATGAAGCAGACCATTTGCCAACAACTACATCTCGTAGCGGGAGAAGTTCTTCAGCATGGGCACGGAGTGCGTGAAGCAGAGGCTGCCAGCCAGAGATGGTGGTAGTGGAGGCCCGCCACATCGTTGCTGCGAGAAGCGTTTCAATACCCTGCGGGATCGTGGCGGACGCCCAAAGTGAGAACGACAGGATGTCCATCTTCGTGAAGCTCGAGGGGGCAGCTCGGATCAGCTTGTGGAGCCCGTGAATCTCCTTGGACAGGAATGCTGGGGAAGGCGGGTAGAGCTGGCCGGCGTACTTGAGGCATGTGATGGCAGCGGAGTTGTACATCTTGATGCACTGTTGGATGGGCGCGTAGGAGTCGCTCAGGATCTGGATGCGCCCCCACCACTTGCTGGCAGGAACTTGCCATTGACGGTCGAGAGAAGCGCCAGGGCCGATGTACACGCCGAGGTAGCGCGCAAAGCTATTGATGGAGAAGTCTTGCCACGGCTCGTAGAGCTGGGTCAGGATGACACGCATTCTCGCGGTGATCTCGGGCGTTGGCAAGGACCATGTGGGCACGAGGACGCATTTCTTCGGTTGGAGGCGGAGTCCAGCGTAATGTTGTGCAGCTTGCAGGTGTGGTAGTAGGGCGCCAAGATCCCGAAGTGCAGCAAGAACTATACCCAGGTCGTCGGCGCATGCGCTGAGCGTGCCTCTATCCAGAGCAGTAAGTTCCATCTTGAGGCCCTTGATGATGGGATCGAAGACTAGTGCCCATAGCGCGCCGCTCAAGGGGCATCCTTGCGCAACCCCAGATTCTGCTAGAAGTAGCGGTCGACGAGTACCACCTATGTCGAAGAAGGCAAGAGGCATGTTGTAGCAGCACTGCAGAAGAAAGACGCCGTGAATGCCCCACCGCCTTAGAGTAGCCCACAACCACGTGTGCGTGAGGCTCGGAAACGCTGCGGCAATGTCCATGCTGGCGAAGCAGGGCATCATGCTGGCGGCTTCGCTGTTGATGCTGGTGATACGGGCGATGGTGTCCACCTTGACAATGTTGGAGAGAAATTGACGGCCACTGACAAAACCTTGTTGTTCTTCCTCGGTGTCCGACGCCCCGGAGCTGAGGATGCGGTTCGTCGCGGAGGCGATGATCTTGATGTCACTGCTCTTCATGGCGAGGGGGCGTAGACAGTCAGGACTGCGCGAGCACTCGTAATTGCCCATGGGCTCATCACCCTTGGGGGGCATGGCCATGAGCGCGTAGTTCAGGTCGCGTGGGGTCGGTCCACCGTGAGCAATGGAGTGGAGGAGTGTGTGGAGAATCTCAATGCTGCCTTCTGGTCGTACCCATGCTCGATAAGGCAGCCCGTCGGGCCCAGGAGCAGAGTCACTGGCGTGTTTAGCAGCAGCTTGGAGTTCTTCAACCCCAGGTAGAGGCAGGTGGCGCGGCGGCATTGGTGGGAAGACCATGTCCAGATATTGCTGCATCGCTGGGGTGTCAACATGCTTAGCAGCGAACACCTTCGACCAGTGATATTGAATAGCATTGTGCATGTCCATGGGGTCGCTGGCGACTGTCGGGTCTCTGCTGTCGGTGATGCGGACACCTGCAAGAATCAAGCGCTTCGAGAACGGCTTCCAGACCTCGCTGCGCGGTCCAA